GAAGAGGAGGTTGGGCCGACAGCTTTACTGTCGGCCCAACCTCACGCGTGAGAAGGGAGGGGATTTACCTAAGGGTCCTTGACTCGTCGGCTGGGGCCTAGGGGCAGTGACCAAAAGCAAAATTATTCTCTCTCCTCTCTCTCTAAGGAAGGGGTGAGCTAAATGCCCAAAGTTCTTAGCATTAACCGTGAGCTAAAAAATCTTAACAAGGAGGAAGTTTTCAACCGACCCAACCGACCACTGTGTTATTACATGCTTGGTATATAAAGGCATCCACTAAAACATGGGTGGATGCCCCAAAAACCAACGTAATTTCTTGAAGATACAAATTTTTTGAATTAAATGAAAGCTCAAATTTAGGGGCAAAATGACGATTTTTCCCCTCACCCACAATCCTGCTAATTCCAAAATAGTCCATCAATGGCCATGAACCCGTCGTGGATTTCACGTGGCTTGCATGGGGCCTTTCCGGCCATCTTCTGGCAAAAATAACATCATAAATTAATGAGCTTGGTGAGGTGATCATTTGCTATAAGTTTTGAGCTATGGGTTGACGTTTTGAGCTGGGAACTTGAGGCGGCAAAAAAGTGAGAAAATCGCGATCTTAGATTCAATATTTCTCTCATTTCTCGATGTTTTTCCCTTGATTTCTTTGCCGTAGAATGACGAGTAAGTCATCATGATCGTTTGGCAACAAGAATGACTCGATTTGGTGCCCAAATGATCACTTTCTCAGTTGGGGAATTTTGGCCTGAATTGGGATTCTAGTGGCCAGAAAATGCCTCTTCTTTGTCCCTGAGATACAACCTATTCGACTGTTCATCATGCGCAAGGTTTGGCTCGAACGAAGCCCTCGACCTCATGGTCGCAATGGGTCTGATTATAAGCCAATTCGTTACGCAGGCGTCATGATATGGTCGTTCAATCAAAGGGACCTTCTTTTTGAAAAATTCTGCAACTTATGCATCTCAATGGCGATCTTCTCTCTACGATTTCTCTGGCCTCGGGCCGTGCCGTCGGGCGTGCCATTTATCAAAATGATCGGGCCAATGAGAGGAACATTTTTCCAAAATTTGGGCTCATTTCAATCTGAGATGAAGGAGATATGACCATTGGAAGTCAGCCCCGAAATTAGAAAGCACAGTTTCCATAAATGGAAACTGGTTCACCGAGGGTGCAATAAAATTATTTGCAGCTTACCCATTTTTGGTAAGTTAGCAGCAGAATGCTCCAAAAATGTTTGAATGAGTCAAAATTTGGTATCCGGGGGTTTTCGAACATTCTCAATCCAATGGAAGTGGTTTGATGTTGATTTGAAACTCCGTTGATAGGGCTGTAGTTACAAGGTCTTCTTTCAGCGTACTAGAGGCAAAATTCTGAAAACGGTTTTTGCATCTGGCCCTCCTTAACTTCGTCGAATTGCGACGAAACTTAGCGGGGACCCTTAGGGCATCAAGAACCGTGTTTCTAGGCATTATTGGACCAGTCTAAAGCTTTTGTCATTTCCGCTCCGGATCAGAGTTTATTCTACTATTGCTTCCTCTTATTCGTATCGGGGATTATAAGTGTCGAAAATACCCTTCAACATTTTTCTCTCTAAAAAATTTGTACATTTTCTATCTAAAAAAAATTTCATATACTTTTTCTCTCTAAAATTTGGTATAGTTTCCCTCTCTAAAATTTTAATATGTTTTCTCTCTTTAAAATTTGATATAGTTCCTCTCTCTAAAATTTTAATATTTTTTTGTTCTACAGCATCAAAATTGATCATTTCCATGAAATGTCAATTTCACTTATTTTGATGGTATTGAGACTAAAATGAGTATTTGGGAATCCTACGGAAATCTCAATTCTAACGAAAATATCAATTCTAAGCGAACCAAATGTGATTCGTCCAGCTTTTCTAGAAAAAGTGACTTCTGAAAATTTGAAACCAATGAGCCAAACAAGAAGGTTTAGATTCGAGTTTGGCGCAGATTCAGATAGGAAGATTTTGATTCGAGTTTGGCTATTATTTCAACAATGAGTAGCATTTTGGGGAAAATTAATGTGGTAAGAATATTATCAAATCAGGAGTCTCATAAACATATATTCAGTATTTTACTTTTTCGTTCGGACTTTATGGGTTGCTATTGGAATTTTAAAATATCAAACTAGTGTATTATTATTGTGAAATAAACGTTAGTTAACATTAAATAAAATAAAGCCTCACTTCAAATCCTCACTCGAAAAGCACTTTCAGCAACGAAATTTTCATGATGGATCTAAAATCAATTTCTAACACTGATAACGAAATTTAAAATTAAAAACAGTAGTATAGATCTTGCAGATCTATGAACACTTATTATTAGGGTGAAATGAACGATCTATATAATTTGTTACAATTTACACTGTTTTTGGAGCTTCTTTTTTTTTCACAACCATAATGTTCACGCCCAGACAATCAATGTAAACGTTTTCTTGAATTGCAACTTTTGATGAGTTATGAAGTGAGGTTCTACTTGAGAATGGCCTGGGCCTTGGCGGTAGTATTGCTGAGCTCTATGGTGAGGTATCTGACTCCATTGTCACCAACAAGTGGGGATTTAAAACTCGAATAGTTAAAGAGAAATATACAAAAAATAATAATTAATCCTATTTTGCTATTGCAATTTAAAAACCATCCCATATATTTAATAATTTATTCTCAAGTCCCTTATTTTATTTCTCTCAAATTATTTTTCTACACACCAAGTTACGCTCAATTTTTGGGCATCTGTGCTTTTCATCACTATGCACATGTAAAACTAAAAAAATACGAAAAATAAAAGAAAAAAATATCCAAAACAAGCAAACTACTTCTGAAACTTTTTGAAGGCTCCTGAAAATTTTATTCATTATAAAAGAAGTCAAATTACTGAGCATATTGCCCATTCACTGCTTGGGGGTATAACCCTGTCGAGGAGTATTAGTAGGGCCGCAGTGGATGTAATCTTGTCAGAAGAAATCAAGTTAAAAGAGAAAAAAAGGTCACCGGCCTTCATATACAGGTAAACAATTAACTTTCTTAAGATTGAATGGGGACTATGATCTAAGATTTTAGACGCTTAAAAATTTAAGTTTTTTAAAAAAATATTGTCGATCCTGAAATTTTAGATGGAAAACAAAAAGGAAAACTGATATAAGGATACAACCTTATTTGTAGAAAGCGAAAGGTTTCTATACTTCCCTTACATCATAAAAGATCTATGCTTCCCCTACCATCCAGCCGTCCAATTTTGATCGAGAGAGTCACTCACCGTTTGATATTAGATCCGCCGTTTCAAAGTATTTTATTTTTAGTTTTTTTTTATATAAATTATATGTATATAATGTGCCATCTTCTCATTGGGGCGCACCTATAAAAAATATTTAAAATAATTTTTTTATAAAATATGAAGACCAAAATACCCTTTGAAGCTGTCAGGGGTATTTTGGTCATTTTATTTTATTAGAAATATTGCTTTTATATTTTTTCGTTGGTGTGAGTTTAATAAAGGATTGGACATACAAAATTTGGTGTCAAAATAGTTTATAGAAAAAAGAAAAAAAATAAAATAGTATAGAGACGTGACATCGTGATTGGGACAATCTTAGCCCTCCATTCAGAATGGATGGCTGGATAAGGGGAAGCATATAAGTTTAGAAAAAGTTTATATAAGGTTGCAACCTTATAATGTAGAATTACGGATGCACCTCAAAAATCCATTGGAAAAGGTTGTTTTAATGATGAAAAACCCTTTGATTGATCATCTCGACATCGAGATGTATGACTATGAAAAATAAATGGATTTTGAGTCTTAGAAATGGTGTATCTTACAACATATTATCTAGACCATCATTTTTCAATATTTTCATATGTATATAGATGTACTTGATTTTAACTATTTTTGGAGTTTAAAATTTTATAATTAGATATAATAATAGATTTTGAGATACTCCTAAAAATATTTTACATCAAAATTATATGTTATGATAAAATTTGAAGGTGCGCCTTAATTGGATTGTTTAAGGTTGCATCCTTATGGAAACCACACCCTATGAGTTTTATGCTGTAGGGGAAGCATAGAAAGCTTGCCCTTGTAGAAATATGGTCACATTAATCTATACCATCTATTTTAGTTGAATAATATAAAATTGACATTGTTTTAAGATACGCATCACTTTTTTAATACTATTTCAAAAAACTAGTCATTGCATCATATAATTAAGAGGTATAGTAAAAGACCCCACAACCTTACTTCTACAAATAAAGAGGCATTACTGTGCTACCTTATACAAAGTGCATTAAAAAAAGATTCTCTCAAAAAACATTTATCTCGATCACAAAAAAAAGTATACAATGAGGTCAATTATCTTCTGTACAAGGTGGTCACAATTAATTTTGACCTTTGAATGTAAAATGGGGTAGTTGCATTTGTTTCATTGACCAAGCACAAAGCTCAAAAGAAATTTTATCAAATTTTGTGACAAACTCGAGCAATAAAATTTCACATTGGATGGTTATAAACAATTATGAACTCCTTATAAAATAGGCAAATAGCCTCATTCTATACAATCCTTGAATATAAATAGGTGTATTTTGCTCATTTTCATACGAGAACATGCCTTTTAGGCACCAGTGTTAACAGTTAGATCACTCGATTTTTCCAACAGTACAAAGCACTCGGCGGTTATGAAAAAAGATTTTTTTTTGGAGCACAAAAATTAGTATTATTATTATTATTATTATTTGGAGTAATTCAGTGCCCATAAGTGCCCCTATCTGTTTTTTTATTGGAGAATTACATTTTAAAAGTGTTAATTAGAAATGTGAGTGGTAGATATGGATACTTAACTCGGTGCCGGATACTACCACCGCGACCCCACCCCTTTCCTGGATAAATAATTATTACTTGGAGAGGGCATGGTCGTCATTTGTATCTATAGAGGGGTACATAAAAAACAAACTAAACTGAGGCGGCGGTTGGGTTCCAGGGCGTGGCCAGTCATTTTCCGAGTACTAAAGAGAAGCCGAAACGCATGGGAAGAAAACACCGGGCCAGCCAGTCCAGCCCCGGGATGCAGCAGCAGCAGCAGCATGGATGGTGACGCCCCCCTCAAATCTCTCTTTCTTCCTCTCTCCACATACTTACATCAACTTTAAATCATATCTCATACACCTTCCCTCCCTTCTTCCTCTATTAATTGACTTCTTTGCATTCCCTTTTACCGTTCGGATCTTCCTCGCCCTCTTTACGGTCTCTGCATTTCTCTGCACTCTATGGCTCAAGCTAGAGGGCGGCTTTATGGCTTGCTCCTCCTCTGCTTTTCTTGCAAATGGGTTTCCACGGCTCCAACAGAGCATCTCATTTCCTCTTTGCCCGGTCAACCTCAAGTGAGTTTCAGGCAATATTCAGGATACATAAACGTTGACGAATCGGCAGGCACCAATCTCTTCTATTACTTTGTCGAAGCCCAATCCAATGCTTCTTCTCAGCCCCTCGCGCTCTGGCTAAATGGAGGTGAGCCTTATCTCTCTCTCTCTTTAATTCATGCCATTCTTTCACTATAGTTTTCATACTGAGAGAGAGAGAGAGCGAGAAAGCACGTCGGTTTCTTTTGCAGGGCCCGGGTGTTCTTCCATTGGAGGCGGCGCGTTCACTGAGCTCGGCCCATTTTACCCAAACGGCAAAGGCGATGGACTGAGGATCAATCCATACTCTTGGAACAAAGGTCTTCAAATCCATGAAGCACTAGTACTACCCTCTCTATTTCTTGTTTCCCTCTCTAAAAATTGTTGTACCCCACAGTGGCGAATGTATTGTTCTTGGAGTCGCCGGCGGGCGTGGGGTGGTCCTACTCTAGGATTCCGGCAGGGTACCGTTACAACGACGCAAGAGTAGGTAAATGAGTAAATGCATGCATGCATGCACCAACAAGAGAGAAAGTTAATAAGAAGCATCTCTGAAATAGAAGCTCTTGTATTTCTCTCTGATTTCTATCAGTCCATTTATATATATTGGTGGATAATTTGGGGTCTACTTTTTTTTTTTTTAACGTTAAAAAAAAAATTGGGGTAATTTTTTTGATGGTGGTCACATGCAGCCAATGAGAGCTTGGTGTTTCTACTGAGATGGTTTCAGAGGTTTCCAGAGTACAGTGAGAGGCCGCTTTTTCTCACAGGGGAGAGTTACGCAGGTGGGTTAGAGAGAGAGACAAAGACAAGTCCTTTTGATCATTTATCGAAGGAGACAAAATGTTGTTTTCACTGTGATTAGGGTTCACAAAAAGAGAGAGAGTTGTGAAGGATTTTTCAAATCTTCTGTGATTTATTGTGGGTTTGGACCCCATTATTGCTGGTATTTTCTTTGTAACTGAAACTGGTGTTGTTGATTTTTGCAGGGCATTATATTCCACAGCTGGCGTTGCTCATGGCTAGGCACAACGGTCGGATGAGTCGTGGTGCGGCTGCTTTTGGATTCAATCTTCACGGTATCCTGGTAAGTACAACTCACACTCTTTCTCTCTCTACCATTCCTTTTTTTATGCAACCTCACTCCCACACCTACATCCTTCTCTCTCTACATATATGCGACCTCACTCCTAAACCTAGTTCTTTCTCTCTATAGATATAGGCAACCTCAGTCCCAGACCTAGATCTTTCTTTCTCGAGATATATGCAACCTCAGTCCCAGACCTAGATCTTTCTCTCTCTAGATATATGCAACCTCAGTCCCAGACCTAGGTCTCTCTCTCTCTAGAGGGTTATAATGAACTTTCTCTCTTCCGAACCTAAAGACCTATACAGTGTTTGCAATCTCTCTCTCTTAGGCTTTGTTGAGAGCTGACAAGCTTCTTTCTTGCACGCAAGTGCTTGCCTCAAACGTCCAGTCATATCTCCACTCTCTCTCTTCCCGATGATTTTAACTGTTTCTCTTTCTCTCTCTTAAACGAACAAATACAGCATTGCAATTCATGTATTTTGTATGGGTGTGTTTGTATGAGGCTCAGGCCCTAAACAATCAAACAAAAGCGCACCGTCAATAATGTCAAGAATGTTGTTTCGGAACATTTTGTGATAGCTTGAAAATTTATTTTTATTTTTATTTTATAAAATTTAAAACTTCATAAAATAGTATAAATTGAGTATATTATGAATGGGTGTGGTTTCCATAAGATTACAATTTTAAACAATCCAATTAAGGCGCACCTTCAAATTTGATCATAACATAGAATTTTGATGTAAAATATTTGAAGGATTATCTCAAAATCTATTTTCATATGTAGCTAGAAACATATATAAATTAAAAAAACGGACAATCTAAATAATGTGTTGTAAGATTTGTAGGACTCAATCTTTTTCTCTTTCGTAATCATGCACCTTAATATGATTGTTTAGGGCACTAAACTGTTTCCATTTATGTATTTTGTAAGATAATATTGAGAAATGAGGGGGTTGGTGTTGGTGTTGTTTTAGGTGGGGAACCCATTGTTGAATTATGGGGTGGACACGAGCGCAACTTACTCATTCCTTTGGTCGCACGGTCTGATATCGGACAATACTTACAAGGGGGTGGCCTCTACCTGTGATTTTAGGTATGGGTACACGGGACAAAACCCAGATGATGCCTCAAAATCCCAAGGAAAAAAGGCACATGCGTGCCCTAATTTCCTTGTCTCCGCACGTGCGGAAGTGGGGGCTTTCATCAACATGTACGACGTCACCTTGGACGTGTGTGCGCCTCCCATCGTCCATCAGGCCTTGCTCCTCCATAAATTGGTCATCCCCTCTCTCTCTCTCTCTCTCGCTCTCTCTCTTCTAGCATGCATGCACACACGCTCCAACCCTTTTGCCTCAAGAAATCCATGAAAAAACCTTTTGCTCCATGAAATGAAATCGGTCCTCTTACGAAATTGGTTCGACAGGGCTGCAACCCTATTAAATAAATAAAGCCTCACCTCATCTCCCATAAAAATTACACTTCTAAGCATTGGAAAACTTTTATATTGATCATTTTGGCTTGACTTGAATATGATGGTTGTAAAAAAGAATTGGGATTTTAAGTTAAAAATATTGTATATTATAACAAATTACTTGGACTGTCAGTTTCACCTTAAAAATAAGAGTCCGTAGCTCTCTAATACTTGTATTATTTTTTGAGTTTCAATTTTTATTACTTGAAAATTAGTTTTAGATCCATAAGGGAGATTTCCACTCCCCAATATTTGTATTATTTTTTGAGTTTCAATTTTTATTACTTGAAAATTAGTTTAGATCCATAAGGGAGATTTCCACTGCCGAGAGTTTTATGGGGATTTGGAGTGAGGCTTTATTTTTGTTTTTACATAAACTTCATCATTCTTTTTAAAGCACGTACACTATGCTCCTTTGCGAGTACAGTTTATGAGTACAGTTTATATATGCTGTCTTGATCAGGGATTTTGTCAATACGAAATTTCCAAATTTTGGGAAAAATTTAAGAATTAATTTTAGATCCAGAAGGGAGATTTCTATGGCCAACAAGTGTTTAACGGGAATTTGAAGTGGGGCTTTATTTTGTCTTCATAAAAATTCATCATTCTTTTTAAACTGTAAACTTTACATGTGCTGTCTAAGAGATTTTGTCTATCTGAAATTTTGGAAACAATTTAAGAATTACTATATGATTATTCAACTTTGGATTTAAGAAGATTTTATCATCTAAAAGTTAGATCGTCTCTGTTCAATCTCGAAATTTTTATTTTTATTTTTTCAAGTACATAGATGGTACAATTAGAAATTAATTGCATTGAGGTTAATTTCTTGGTTGGAGCCATTGCAACCCAAAAATTAGGGCCTAAACTTAATTCGAAGTAGGGTCAAACTGGAGGGAGTAAATAACGTTGTACTTCCACCGGAGTACATTATCTCTTGGCGTCTTTTTAACTTTTAAGCATTACAGGCTGCTTCAGAATTTGGTTATATGTGGCCATGCGAGCCGTACAACTTTTTCTTTTTCCAATCGGGTGAAGGTTTGAAATTGGATATTTGTTACATTCTCAATCATTAATTCGTGTTCGAATCCCATAAATGCTGCACAGTAATGCGGAGAAGAAAAAAGTTATTGAGTAGACGTGGAGGGATGGAAATTGGGTTAATGCAAAATCGTAGAAAATCTTTTATTCATATAATTTTTAAGGGGATTCTTTGGCACTGAGGTTTCCCTATTAATTGATTCTGACCGAGGCCGTACTTTTGGAATACAACACAGATGGGTCACCTGGTTGAAACAAGTAAAGAAGGCTCAGATGAAGTGGACGTGTGCATCGACCACGAGCTCACGCGCTATCTCAACCATCCAACGGTTCAGCGAGCCCTTCATGCCAATCTCACCTCCCTTCCCTACGCCTGGGAAGCATGCAGCGAGTAGGTTGACACATTCTCTCTCTATATGCCCTAGAGCATGGATTTAGAGCTGGCAACGGGCCGGGCCATCCCTAGCCATAGCTGACCCACCCCTCGAGCCATATTTTATGGTTGGGCCCATTGGGCTGTGACCGGCCACCCCTACACGGAGTTGCTCTCACTCTCTCTACCTATCTTTCATTGACTTCTTCAAGTACCGGCTCTGAATAGCTTAGGAATTTTTCTTACTCCATAATACCTAATTGTTGTTGGAAAAGTAAATGAGCCCATTTATCTTCGATACAAAGTGGTTACAATTAATCTTGACCATGTCAAATTGGGTGGTTGCACTCTACTAAGCAACTTCAAACTTCAAATTTTACTATTTTTCGAAATTTGTGATACGTCTAAGCTATCAAATTTTATATGGGATGATTGTAAATAATTATGGCCTCCTTGTATTAAAAGTAAATATTTTTGTTTATTCCTCCCTCTTTTCTCTTTGTTTTCATTTCTCTCTCTCTCGTTTGAAGCATCGTGGATTACAAATATGAGGACCAGCTCGAAGACATGTTACCTCTCTTGAAGGATCTCGTTAAAAGCCGCGTTAGAATCTGGATTTTCAGGTATATGATGTGGATGTAAATTTTGGAGCCTTATTTTTTGTCGCGTGTTTTTGTTCTTAATGTATGAGATGTTTTAACCGTGATAGGTAGCTTGTACCCGCCTGTGGACTCGCCACCTTGGGAGCGTAAGAAAAAAATTTATAAAAATTCAAAAAAAAATTTATTTGTAACACTATTTATTTTGGAATTATATACATTAACATCATTTACCTTTGATATAACGATGCTACAAATGGGCAATGATATCATGCAACAGTTGTATCATAGTATAATGCAATTACACTTTTAAAAAATCATGTTTGTGGTATTTGTATGACCCTAAATTTTACACGTATGCTCTCTTCATCTCAATAATCAATCTTCAAAAAACAAAAGTTCAATTTGAACCTTATATATGATCAAAATTAGTTCCCTCCAACAATGAATCTAGGCCATTCATTTGGTGAATTTTAAGATCTTAGTAGTTACAAACTCAAAATCTTTTTCTGTTTTTTTTTTTTTAACATTGTTCATCTAATGGTAATAAAACTATCTAAAAAAAATGGAAAAGAAAAAATCCTTCTAAGGTCTAGATCTAAGCATCTTGTTGAAATAGACGGCATATGTTAATTGGGCTAAAAAAACTATTTTCTAGGTTTCAATTTCAAAATTTTCTTTTTTATGATTGATCATTAGAATGAAAAGAGTGTATATTTCAAATTTTGGATCAAACAAATAGCCTTAACTTGGTTTTGAAGATTGTTGCATTAGCATGAAATCACTACCCAGATACAAATACTTATAGCCCTACAACGTGATATCTCAATAACTTGGATTGTCACATAGTTCGAGAATTTTTTTGGAAGTTTGAGTTTGAGTTTGATCTCATTGTGATAAATACATCTATCCAATTTCACATCTAGTGGTCAAGATTCATTGTGATGAGTTTATACCAAAAAATAAATTGTTCATTGTATACTTGGGCGGTTGGGCTTGGGCCCGAGTCATTCAATACAACACTGTTGTAAATATATTTTTGTCGAATTACTGGCAGCGGGGATCAGGACTCAGTGGTTCCTCTAACTGGAACAAGGTCCCAGTTAACGACGCTAGCTCACCATCTCAGATTGAAAACCATGATCCCATATAGTGCATGGTATGCTAATGGACAGGTGAGTATTTTGTTTTTCTTGTTTTTATCTTTCCTCTGTTCTTTCTTTGTTTTGTTTGTCTCCCTTTTTGGGGCTTTCTCTTGCTTGGTTGGTTTTCATAAATTTTGATTTGAGTCATTTTTTCAATTAATTAGGGTCGATTGTAAATTTTGATTTGGGTATTCGGGTGAAATATCCTCAATAAACCAGAATGCAATTCAGATGAAATCCAACATATTTTAGAACCGGCTTTTGTTTATAATTTAGAAAGAAAAGTCGAGCAAGTTTATGGAATTTGGCGTCTGAGGTATTTTCTGTTGGGGTTATGTGCAGGTCGGGGGTTGGGTTGAGGCCTATGAGGAGAGTCTGGGGTTAGTGTATGCGACAGTGAGAGGAGCTGCACACATGGTTCCATATGCACAGCCCGAGAGAGCCCTCATCCTCTTCTCTTCCTTTCTACATGCCCAACCACTTCCATCTCGCTCCTCCTAAAGAGACTCTCTCTCTCTCTTACTTAGCAAGAAAACACACAAGCTCTCTCTCTGGTACTGGTTTTGTCTACTTCACCCAGTCGAAGACAAGCTTTGCACTCTTCAATATTTCCTTTATTCGTAAGACATGTCAAAAATCAAAATCGGGATTGTTTTCTGAGATGATTGCCGTTCGGTTTAGTGTGATGGCATTAGATTAATTAACTCATTTGATAATGGGAAGAGTTTATTTAGAGCCTAGGCTCTAAAGAATCAAATTAGAGCTTACCTCAAAATTTAGCTTGAAGAGATTGTTTTGATGTCCAAACATCTTCAAATTGATCTTCTTGACATCAAGTTTTGGAAGGCATTTTGGACCGTCAATTTTTAAGTTCTTGAAGTTTTTATCTACACTATTTTTGAAGCTTCAAGTTTTATAATTAAAGATAAACATATATTTCAAGGCTAATCAAAGGTTAATAGTATTGAAACCACATTTCTCGACACTATTTGAAGGTGGGCTCTAATTTCATTGTTTAGAGCCTCAGCTCTATCCTAACTGCACCCTTTGATAATTAGTTTGATATAAAGTATATTATCTTAAGTAATATTATTTTATTAGTTATTTGGTATGCAAGTTTATATAGAGCCGAGGCTCTAATCAATCAAATTAGACCCCACCTCCAAAATTTTACCAAAAGAGGTTTTTTTGATGCCCAATTATCCTCAAATTAATCATCTCGACGGCAAGATGAATGGACATGAGAAAAAAAGGATTTTAAGTTGTGGAAATAATTTATCTTGTAACATTTTTTGACCGTCAATTTTCAAGATATTTAAGTTTTCATGGATATGCTTGATCTACATTAATTTTTAAGCTTTAAATTTTAAAATTAAGATGAAAATATATTTTAAGGCTAATACAAAGATTTTCAGTATTGAAATCACATTTCTTGGCACTATTTGAAGTTGTGCTTTCTTTTGATTTTTTTGAGCCTCAGCTTTGTAGAAACGGCACCTTACTCATAATATTATTTAAGTATGGACATGTATACTATGCTCTCTTAAGAGGATTTTTCAAGTTTTTTTATTTTGAAAATTTTGGAACTACTTAAGAATTAGTAGACAATTATTCTAAAAAAAAAAAACTAAAATTTGAGTTGTCTAACACTTAAATCTAAAAATTGGATGGTTTTTATTCAATCTTGAGATATTATTTTTTTAAAGTGCGTAGAGTATACATAGGAATATTTGTTTTTATTGAGGTTAATCTATGGGTTAAAGTGGTTACATTCCCCAAATTTTTAGTCCTAAAATTAATTCTAAGTGGAGTTTTACTAATTAAAAGCATGTGAATTTGAGCAAATTATTTTGAGTAAAATAAAACTATCTTTTCAAATAGGGGTGGGAATGAGCCCGACCTTGTTTAGGCCAGTATGCCTAGGTAGAGAGACCCTGGCATAGGCCCGGCCTTGCTTTGACAGTGCTAGGTTGTAAAAAATTGTTGAGAATTTTATAACTTGGAATTTTTAATTTGTTGATTCACTTTGTGATCAATTTTAAAAGAAAATAAGTAAATAAGTAAATAAATATATCTTTTTTTTTTTACCGATGTTCAAAATTTTATTGATAAACTAGAAGGAAATTACATCAGGTGATATAGAGAGAGAAACAAGTCCAACGCCCTCTTTTGCCAAAGCATCAATATCATTAGTCTCTCTATAAACATGGGAAAAAGTAACAGCCAAGGTTGTTGTAATAACGTTTAAAGAATCGCCTTCAATTAAACAGGTTGTCCCCAAGTTATGGTCTGTAAAAATGAGCAAACTTCTAAGAACAACACTCATCTCAGCAAAATTTGCAGTAGCAACACCAATTGGTCTTGCGTAAGATAGCACAGTGTTCCCATAGCAATCACGGAGTACACCCCCAATACCCGTCGGATCTGGGTTACCCAGAGAGCTACCATCAAAATTAATCTTAAGGCAGCTTAAGGGTGGAGTTAACCATAAAGCCTTTGGTCAATGCCTCCTAACCCCAAGAAAAAATAGATTGAAAAGATTGACCATCACATCCACTTTTGTGATGCCTTATCCCTCATTGGTCACAGAAATACATGGACCATATTGATTACTTTTTGTAATCGATATCGATTAATGAAAAGAATCACTTTTTGTTGGGGCAAAGTCACACCTTCAAAGGTTCTTTTATTCCTCTCCTTTCACACTTCCCACATCCCTATACCTATGGCAATCTTCCAAATTGTTGTCCCGGTTTTGGGCAGAAAAAGAAGAACAAACTGAGTAATTATCCCCAAAACCCTCTGCGGCATAACCAAAGAAATCTCAACCAATCTGAAAAGCCAATGCCAAATCCCTAAAGTAAAGGACAATGCATCAAGAGATGTGCAATCGATTCACCATCTTGTTAAAAGAGTAAACAAATATTGGGCAAAATTGTTACCCTCTTCATAAGATTGTCTATGGTTAAGATCTTATGATGTGCCGCCAACCAAATAAAGATTTGTACTTTATGGGAGATAGGCCACTTCTAAATTTGAACAATCTTAGGGAAAAACCATCTATAACGGTCATGAAAAAATAAATTGTAATAAGATTTAACTGAAAAAAATCCATCACTCTCAATCTCCCAAATCAACTCATCAATCGTATCATGTGAGATATATACTTTGTCCCGCAAGTCCAGCAAAGTACACCATTGAGTAAAAATAGCTTCACTTAGTGGTCTGTATTTTAAAATTTATATTCCAGGAGAAACCATTCACTCTTCTCTCCACAACATCTCCAATGAGCACTTATGATGCCAAAACATGACTTGCCTACGACTTCCAACATACCATCTGAAATAGCCAGAGATCATAGGGTTGCAGTTATAGATGGCTTTCCAGGTAAAAGAAGTGTCATCCCGTCTACCTCCACCAATCCACAAACTATGAATCTCCAAGCCATACTTAGCAATGATAACATTACACCAGAGTGCGTCCTTAAAAATAATACTCCGCCACCACTATTTATATAAAAGAGCTCAGGCCTCCTTCGCGTTTAGGAGTACAAACTCTATCCCATCTAACCAAGTGGAATTTCCTGTGGTCATCATTCGAGCCCCAAAGGAAATCTCTCATCATTTTCTCGAGCTTTCTTCCTACCGAAGTCGGCATTTGGATCAAGGACGGAGCTTTTAAAATGTTACAACATGTTATTCCTACTTGTCGTCAAGTCATGGTCCAACTAATTGGATTGTATGGTGGCAATCTTGGAAGGTAAATTGATTTGGATCTTTTCCTTTCTTTTTTTTTTCCTTTTTTTTGTGTGTGCTCTAAATTGTTTGTTTAAGATTTTAGAGATGGATAAAAATGATTGGAAAGTTTTTAAGAACCACTTGTTTTGACTGCAAGTTTTGACTGCAAGACCAAATGTACAATTTCATCGTGGTGAACCTCCAGATTTTATTTATTTTTTGATGTTTCTCTTTTAATTCTTATGGGAAACCTTATCCCTATAAGCATGAAAAATCTATAAACCTTGGGTTATCAATGCTTCCCTCGATTGAAATCCAAGCTTTTTTCTACTGCTCATATGTTTGACATGATTCGACCTTTCTCTGTGGAATTTTCGCATTCAGACTCCATTTACTAGGTTGCCTTCTGGATGCGCAATTTCTAATTAAAGCAAGAAATACAATTGAAAACAAGCGAAATTCACCCCATTTTGGACCTATTTGTTATTTTTGGAGACGTCAATTACCAAGCATTCATGGAATGTGAATACTACAAATGTAAACTCTTTTTAAGGGAAATTTATAGATCCTCTCTTGATTCAACTTTTTAGGCATCGTCTTTCTAATACTTTTTAAACTACAAAACAAACCCCAAAACTGCCTTTCTTTTAAGCATCCATCTCCCGAAGTAAAAAAATAATTTTATTTTTATGAATATACCCTTTTCAAGACCCATGTTTCTCAATGGTTTTGTGCCCAATTGAAGCCATCCCGTTACACATTCATTATAACAATAAGGTTAATCTGGGCTTCTTGTCCCTATTAAAGCCGGTATAACTCTCATTTTGCTAGATCAGCTTCAGTAGGGGAAAAAAGAAAAACAAAGAGAAGCGTGCATTTTAAAAGGGTATTTTTGTAAATAAAAAAAGTCACATTAGCTCACATTTTGCTGGATTGACTTCAGTAGGGAAAAAAAACAAAGAGAATCGTGCATTTTGAAAGGGTATTTTTGTAAAAAAAAAAAAGCGTCACATTTTACTTTGGAGGTGGATAAAAGAAATAAAAAATAAAAAATTAAAATTTGTGATGCGGTTTGGGGAGTTTTCATAATTTTCCCTTTGTTTAATCCATTACATCAATGTTGAAGATGATTATATCACAGGAAAAGAGAAGATATATTATATATGGTGGGCAACATTCCCGCCCGTTACGTTTCCCTCATCTTTCTAGTTCTTTGAAATCATCACCCAAAAAAAGTTACTTGGAATCTTAGCTATTGTGGTCTCTCTCACGTTCTATGTATTAGGCTTCTTTACCGGTTTCCTGCTTGGTATGCTTAGAGGTTCTTTGATCATTCCAAGTCTCTAAGCCATTCGGCTCAGGAATTCAATTCTCTTGCTTCTTCAATCCTCTCTTGGATGCTCATTTTATCCACAAGGGATGTTGTAGCGTCCACATCATGTGAAGGGCATAAAAGCAGCCATTAATGGTTCATATAGGCCTATCCAACACCCATAAATTTGTTTTGTTTTTATTTTTTTAGTTTTTTTGGGAAAATTACAAAATACATCCTAAAATGAACTATTTATGCAATTTACCCCTACCCCAATTTTTTCTCACACTTTTTTCCTCCAAACAACCTTTCCTCGCAAAACCCCCATAAGGTAAAAAGTTCTTAATTTTTGGACGGAAATGTCCTTCTCATACAAACCAAATCAATTCGCGATCCCAAATAGAGTAGTGCCGGAGCGTAGTATACTACTGCCAGAGTGTAGTATACTACTGCCAGAGTGGAATGTCAAGAAGCACTGCCGGAGCGCGGTGCTACATTGCCAGAGCGAACTGCCGGAGTACGTATTTTACATTGTCGGAGCGGACTACCGGAGCGGACTGCCGGAGCGCAGTTCTCAGTATGTCGGAGTGATGCGGCTTAGACAAAGCACTGCAGGAGTGCACATTGTGAC